AACGTACTCTCTCTCTCTCTCTCTCTCTCTCTCTCTCTCTCTCTCTCTCTCTCTCTTCTCCAAACGCACACTCACTGTGCGTCACTCTCTCCCCTCCCCCCCCTCCTCTCTCTCTATCTAAATCTTTCTCCTCTCTCCTATGCCATAGAAGGAATGGAGCCAAAACGGTCTCACATGCAATACAGCGAGGCAAAGTGTACCATGCTACATCGGCTTCATTATTTGCCTTAAATTCCCGTGAAGGAAGCAAATACAGGGAAGCTGCATCAGATAGCATCGCGTACGGTCCCTAATACGTACCAGGTGATGTTTAACCTGTAAGCTTCAGGTTTCTAAGCTCGACCAGCATCTGAAATGAAGGGAAAAAAGAAGATGCTTATGCAATCCATCATATTGCTATGATCGTATTGCCATGGTGGTGAGAGACGAATCAACATCCTATAAAATCCATGTCACCCTAACATATTCGTGTCCCCGGTGATCGACACCAGCAATAATGCTGCTGCTGCTGCCAGAGTACTAATGGTGGGCTAATGCACCACCGTGTGGACTGTTGCAGGGTTTGGAGCGTTGCACGGCAGTGTCTGTGGATGCTTCCTTTAGGAACTATTGATGCAAACCGTGGTGACCCTAACAAAATGCCAGAAGCAGGTTTAGGTCATGCAGTGGCAAGAGTGATTCGAGGAGATGACTGATGAGTGGCAGAGTACCTCATCAGAGTGCGTGGGACAAGCAAGTCATGAGTAGGGCGAGAGCTTGTTTTTGTTTGGGTGGTTTGTTCCCTCCGGGAAACAGGGAGAAACTTGTATAGGATAAAGGAAAGGTATTACTAACATTATACCAGGAAATGACCGGAGGGGGGTGGTGGTGTTACCTTTTACCCGTGTTTATTACAGCCAGCAGAGGAGGAGGAAGAAGAAGGAAGAGAGCGGGTGCCTATATCTCACACGGAGGAGAAGCAGACATGTCGCATGAGGATTGGCCGATTCGGTGGTCCCATGGATGGACCCCAGAACAAGGGTCCACAGCGGCACACAAGTCCACCACTTGGTATGGACAGGTAGCCAAAGCACATGCGCCCAACCATCGACTTTAGAGGTGTCCCCGGCAGCGGAGTAATTGCCGGGTACGTGATCACGCAGCACGAAACGCAAAGCGGGTTGGGTCGCCCTAAAAATGCGTGCGCCATCCATCCATCCAACGACATACATGCCATGTTCTGGTGTCCACGTACCATGTGTATCAAAGTGTCACATGTTGGATTCCTGGAGCCAATCTTAGCGTGGGGGAATTAAGAGCTTTTGCTATTTGGAAGATGGAAGGACTGGGGATGACCCTAACTAGAATTCTGCGCCTCTGGTCATCTCTTGGGCATCGGTTGAAGGAGGTCGAGGTGGACGAAGAGGAAGAGCACCCTTTGCCAATCCTTTAAAGAGTAGTTGGACATCTTTTGCCTGTTATGTCTTAGGAGTAGCTCAAGCCATGTGCCATTGTCATCATGGGACCGAGAGAGAGAGAGAGAGAGAGAGAGACGCAGCAGCTCCACATTATTGATGACTTGGTGTCCCATCTCGGCCTGCAGAGAGATTGCGATGGCTCCCATTTCTTTTGACTTCCACCTCTGAAATGAACTGCAATGATGAGCTCCTCCTGGAGGCAAGTGGCAATGACAAGAATCGCTGGATTTTACAGTCGTATACATTGGTCTATCATGATCGTATATACTCTTCATTAAACATGCGGCTCGATATATCATGGTAATTCGATCCGCTTCCGATTAGTATGCGTCGCACAAGATTCAGAAAAAGTGGTGACAGCAATAATCCACACCACATGGGAAAAAGTTGATCTGTTATTCCCCATTGTAGGGGGTGTGACAAAAGGGCTCTTTTGCAAAGCAAAAGTGCAGTAGCTACTACCAAAGAGCTCTCCAACCCTCTTTGCAGCAACAGTGAACTGAAGGAGCAGCTTTCAGCTTCTCGAGAATACAATAAGAGTTGAACTGGATGACAGGCAGCTCTATCTAATGTGCAGGATCTCGATTAGAGAACTAATATTTGGGCCAACACTTAATGTGCAGTCCAGTCTGGGCATGACAAGGAACTGTTCCAGCTCATTGAGGCTTTCCATTATGAAAGCGACATTGACCTTCCACACAAGTCAAGGCCATAATATTTTCCTATCCTAGACTAGCTTGGGAGGAGTCTTATTGATATAGCTTGACCTGCAACTCACAGATATACAACTGAAGTCCACCTCCCTTGGCCTGCAGGATGTATACTTTTCAATGGATCTTCTGCACAGCCAAAAAAATATTCTCTAGGACTTAATGTAGAGAGCAACGTCAGCCAGTTGACTCTTGCTGTCTTATCTTGAGTGGTTATTACAGATGCATTAGACATCTCCTTACTGTTGCCCCGATGACATCTCATGCATGAACAGCTCCGCCTCACTCTCCAGCGCAGGGATGATTGAGAACATTGACCTTTCGCACGATGCAGGCCGAAATAATTGAGGCTCGCATTCGGTGCCCCGTCGTATTCCATACGTGAACAGCACGAGAGGAGACGAACGCCATTACGGCATGTCGTTGGCTGGTATACGTCCACTGAGTTCTCCGGACCTCCGAGAACCATTAATAGATTTAGGATTTGAACATGTAATGGTGATACATTGGAAATTAATTCCATTATTGCGACGTTGTCAGCGTCTGCTCTTTCTTCAAGAGAGAAGGCACAGCTAATTATGGGCCGGGTTTGATTTGGGCTACACTTACGGGCTTTGTCGAGCGCCTGTCACCAGAACGACCGAATCGACACTGAAGATTATCGGGGTGACGTCACCTCTTAATTTATCTACGTGTTGTGATGCGCGCATGTGGGCCCGCGTCCAGCAGAAGACAGGCTATCATCACTAAGAATCCTGGCCGTCCATCGGTGCCGAAACATGCTGATTTTTCCGTCCCATGAAACAGGGAAGGAATCACGGTTGTCCATGGAATGCATGCCACCGTCTCTAACTCGCAGTCCCGGGGACGAACAGTTGCCCACAACCTTTCGCTGTGGCCATGGCTGTCTTCATCTTCTTGGAGAACAGTCGCCATAATATTCTGCTTCCGAGGTTTACATTTGTGGAGGGAGCACTGCGATCTATGTATATGACATGGAATGGTCGCAGGTTTGGCTGTCTCGAGCTGGAAGCAGCCGCTGCCCGTGACGCTACATTCCTTCATGTCGAAGTGGGCTCACAGGGACGACCGGTGGTTGCCTCCACCTTCACGTGCATGTTGTTACATATCCTCGTCTGGTACCAACCATGACTTCGAGTGGGTTCGTCAGCTCGTCTTCTACAATGTGATAGCATCGACAGCTGAAGAGAGTTTAGCTGGTTGCATTACAAGCATTCGGTACACACTGTTATCTCAGTCATTAATCGAAAATTATCTTTCCTGCTCACAAATATCATCGGAGGTGTGCCAACAGTTCCATGGTCGTCTGTGATGAGTACTTTTGGGTATCTCGACGCTGTGATGTGCAGCCTGTGATATCAGCAGTGGATGATCGAGAATCGATGTCGATCGGCTGCAGCGACGTCTGCGTAGGAACCAAAAGTTCGTGAGGTTCGAAATGGTACGACAGCAAGCAGATCTGCAGCTCCGCATGTTGCTTGGATGTGCAGCGTGCGTGTTATCTTTTGGAGCTCGGATGAGGCCAAAGAACTCTTCTGAAATGATCACGAAAGTCTTTGTCTTCCGCCGCGGGAAACATCTTATATTTAGATGGCAACGTTCGCTCACTGTGCATAGTTCATCATCCTGAGACTGGATGCTAAGTTGGCTATTATGGGTGTAGCATTGAGAGACCGGCAGCAGCAGCAGCTCTGAGAGAGAGATAGAGTCGACTCTTTCTCAGGAAGAAGGATGAGAAGATTTCAGCTGCTTTGATTTAGCTAGAAGCATATAAAAACAAGCATCGTGGTTGGACCAGCATCAGAGATTGATTCTGGCCAAAAAAGATGTCTTGACCTGCACAGCGTAAAAGTTGTAGCCACTAGACAACAATGCAATCCCTCAGCAACTTTCTACCATACGTTCAAAAACCCAGCAAGAGCCCATCAGAGAGAGTTCGTCACCAAGAATCCAATGTCTCGAGATGAACTTGTCATCTCCCCTTCATCCTCACATAACACCACACCATGCTCGTGAGCCTTATTCATTGCAGCAACCCAGTAACGAATACAAATCAGGCTCATGCAGTATCTTCTCCATCGTAATGAGGGTTGTGTGAACTGAGATAGAAGCAGGGATAATAGGTAAGGAGGCAATGCATTGCATCATATAAGGATTTAATTGCAAGTGATTTATTTACTCATAATCGAATATTTGTAAGATTTTGGAAGGTTAGTCATTGGACTTGTTTCTCAACGCATGCTTAATCTTTTTATCATTCAGAACCTGATAAAGACAAAACAAAAGCTCCGTCCGTCTCCATGGCGACACACAGGAAATCCGCTCTATGATCATGCACGAATCACGATGGTCCCAGCACCTCGCCTGCCTGCTTCTCAATCTGTGATGAACGTAGATCGTACCGCAACGGATGTGTGGGCACACGAGCGGATCTAATCAAAGTATCTAGAGAGAGAGAGAGAGAGAGATCCGTTGGAGTCATTAAGCAAAGTGGTTAGAGACCGCCGCATTTAAAAGCCGTGGCTGTTTCGCTATAAAAGAAGATACATCTCAGACGTAATATATAAAGACGTGATAAGTGAGCTGCTGCCTCATCGAACACCGAGTCATCTCTCTATTTCACTCCACGCACAGCAAACACATCTCTCCCCTTTGAGTGAGACCGACGGAGAGGGATTTCTTTCTCTCTCTCCGCCAGTTGTCTCCGTCCATGC